GGGGCAGCAGAGCCACCACTGTGGAGTGGAAGGGCGCATTCAGCGACAAGTACGGCACAGTCTTCTTGTTCTTATTATACCTGCAACGCACCTTTCTGGGTCTTGTATCTTTTTTTATTCACATTATGTTGCACTGCCTCTACCTCTTTATCCCCAACACCTTTCTTCTATTCGCATTTTTCCTTTTTATTTCACTTTTACTCATTTGTATTCTTTTTTGTCTTACCTTTATCACGTTCTATATCTACGTACTAGCTTGAAAAAGGTCCCGGAAATTGTTAATAACTCAGAAAAAAGATAGAACGCAATTTTCACAACATTTCTGTTCAAATACATACTTTCCGCAGTAACTCCTGCCAGTATGTATAAAGTAACTGGAAGCATTCCTGGAAGTCATTTAGTGATACTAGAGGTATTGCTCTCGTCGCATTTGCTGTCACTTTATCAACGTTCAAGAAGTTTTGCCACTTCAGGGCAGTTTTCAGCTTTGGAAAGTGAAAAACGTCTGGTTGTGACATTTATGACGAGAACGGAGGGTACGCCCATGCAGTAACGTTCGGCCTGGCAAAGCATATTTTATCAATATTGATCGATGTGATGGCGCGTTATGGTGAAGACACGGTTCTCACAACAATATTTGGAATCTGGGCATGATTTATTGTCATGAAGTCATAGATTTATTGTCATGAAGAAGCTAAACCCCATGGGATTTCTCACACATCCAGTACCCCTCTTTACAAAACAGACTGAGATGCCGGCTGCAAACGTATGTCATTTAATATAAGTCATTTAAGATAATGAAAGACTACTATGTACTGCCTCAAAAGTCTTTCACGTTGGTGAACGTTGTCTTGGTTAGGCTGGAAACGTATGAATCCATATCTGTACGTCTGCTTCTGGGCCAATGATCCCCATCTCAATTAGGATTTTCATCCAATCTTCCTAATTTATTGAGTAAGTACTGATGCAGCGTCTGGTTTTGTTTCTGGATATAAATGCAGCATCAGAAAGCATACGTTTTGTTAATCTCTACTTTTGTTGGATGAAATTTGAGTACCGCCGAAGCATGGGATACCATTTTGTTAGCAATATTAAAAATCAAAATCTATGATTTTTTTTACCAATGCAAATATGTTTTCTTTAACTCTAAACCAATATTGTGTAGTTTTTTATATGTTGCTAATTGCGCTTTATTGCCGATGTTGTTTATCATTTAATAATGTACACTAAAAAGGTGGGAAAGAGATTCTGGGGCTCAAGAAAAAGTAGGTAGATTGTGCTTCCTTCATACGCTAGTTTTAAAATTGTTTCGCAAAAAATAAAAAATAAGAATAAATAAATAAACGCTGTAAATAACACTAAAACCCGCATTAAACGGACAGATTTTCTTCCAATAGTTACAGGATTTGTTACTTTCTCTCAAATTAAAATGCTAGATTTGTATCTCGTAACCTGTATGAATACTGCGATCCAGTGATTCGGCCTCGTTCGACGGGGACTAGGTGTAGTCAGGTAAACCCAAGTATGTGGATACTAAGATTCAAAACCCGCGTATGACATATATATTTAATGTAGTGTTAGTAATGTGCGAGTCATTTCCAGTCAATTGTGTTTTACATAAATATTCCTGGATTGTTCTATAATTCCTTGGCCTGTCAGACCACAGTGTTTTAGATGTGTAAGCAAACCGTAATTGAGGAACTGAATACCATATATGAACAGTAGTACAAGCATAGAGATAGAATCAATGACCACCATTTACAAACATGAGTAAGTATCAGACCTAGAGATGGTCTATGCGATGTTCGAAAAGATTGAAAGATTTCATTGGGTACGTTTCAAAAAGTGTGGTAGATAACGAATGACCCGGCAGTAACTCCGTCAGCCGTACGGTGCGTCCGTCAATCTGTCCATTTACCAATCCGTCAGCCTCTACATCTACAATCCCTCTGTGTGCCCATCTGGCAATTCGTCCGTCAATGTGTCCGTCCGATTGTCTGATTCTATGAGTAAGCATGAGTCTCTTACAACATTTTTTCTCAGAGAGATTAGAATAACGCTCATTTCACACCAATTAGCATTTACAAAACTTTGGGAACTTTTATTGATACTCACGACAACATTTTCAAAAAATTGGAATCATTATTGTGATAATTATAAATGTACATGATATGAGCCTTAAACGTTTCTGACAACTACTCCTAATTCTACTGCTAATCATACTCATAATTCTCCATCTCCTGCTACTACTCCTCTCAAAAATCACCACGATTTGAAGTGACCGCTTGTAGCACATTGCCACGTTCATCATCGCCACTCCATCCTTATCTTCGGCTCATTTTACTTGGTTCAGAGGGAGGGGGAGGACAGATTCCTCATATCTGCAGAAAGGAAATGGTGAATAGGGTGTGGTTCAGAGAGCACAGTGAGAGATCCCTCTCAGGTCCTGAGCTGCCACCGCCAACGCCACGATTTACAGATACGGTCTATCAAAATAACATTGTTTATTGCCGGACCGCACGGTGTCTACAACCACTCAGCGGAACATATACACCACCCCACCTAAATCGGAGATGGTTCGATGACATTTTGCCGAAGATGAGCATGTCGAACCGTTAATGCCATTACAACGCAGCGAGGTGTGAGTCATGTAAATGCCGAAAGCTGCTCAATGTAATGATTCACACGACTCCATCAATCAAATTGTATTTTAAGTGTTAACGCCAGCACCGACGTATGCACCGATAAGACATGTTAATTTTTTTCTTTATTTGTTCACAGTGATCCAAAATGGACTGGTGTAGATAAAGAAACAAGACAGAAACTCGAGTATCTAAAGAGTCAAGATGGGCAGTTCTTCATGAGAATGTCCAATTTTCTGAAGCACTTTCCTATGATTTGGTTTGCATCTCCATTCCCCGACTTCGGGGACAACTATCAAACAACTCCTCTACAGGCAAGTGTTCAAAGGAAATGGAATTCGCTCGTAAAATAATGCTTATGGTGCAAGTCATGAGGAATGATATTTTCTCTCTCTCTATCTCTCTCTCTCTCTCTCTCTCTGTATATATATATGTATATATATATATATATATATATATATATATATATATATATATATATATATATGTACATGTATATGGAGAGATAGATGCTCGATTTATAGAATTTTAGGTTCCGGAACGCACCCCAAATCAATTATAAATTTAATAGAAACAGTTATATATTTATAATGTAATTTGATAATTATACCTGAGGTACGAAAACACCGTCTCGTCACGTTCCGACAGAAATCAAACGATAAGTTTCAAATATGCAATAATTACCGAGTTACAATGTTTTTTACATTAAATTTAGTCAAAGATTTCCATTTTCAGACGTACCTCATTTCGAGCTCTTGGGACGCAGACATTAGTACGGAAGATGATTTTGGAAGGGAAGTTTTTCTGAAGAGTCCCCAGTATTCCCTTACTGTTGGAGAAAGTAAGTATGGATTTATCATTAAACCTCCAGTTTTTACAAGTATTAGTTGGGGACACAGCAAGACAATTTCACGCGTAATATGGAATTAAAACAATATAGTTGAGACGTAGGGAACAACTGACAAACTAATATCCACCCCAACTCTAAAATGACTTATTTCGCTATTTATCAACAAATGTCTGTTAAAACAGGTAACTGTTTCCTCCATTTTCACTCGCGAAGCGATGTATCATGGTAGAGACTTTTAGAGTACCCCGTAAGCCTATTGCAGGTCTGTTGAAGATTCGCGCTAGTCGCAACTAGTGGCAGCGCTGGCTAACGTCAGTTCCTCCGTGCCTCTTCAGCGAAAGCAAAAGGAGAATACTTTTAAGTTGGAATACCTTGCAGCGGTAAAACCTTGCAGCGGGAAGACCTTGCCGCTGGAAAACCTAGCAGCGGGAAAATCTTGCAGCGGGAAAATCTTGCAGCTGGAAAACCTTGCAGCTGGAAAACCTTTCAGCGGCAACACCTTGCAGAGGGAAAACCTTGAAGAGGGAAAACCTTGCAGCGGGAAAACCTTGCAACGGGAAAACCTTGCAGCGGGAAAACCTTGCAGAGGAAAAACCTTGAAGCGGGAATACCTTGAAGCGCGAATAGCTTGAAGCGGGAATACCTTGAAGCGCGAATACCTTGAAGCGGGTATACCTTGAAGCGGGAATACCTTGAAGTGCGAATACTTTCAAGAGGGAATAATTGAAAAGGAAAATATGTGGAAGAGGGAATACTTGGCAAACAGAATATCTGGAACAGTCGGCACTGGTATCCGGCGCGATCCTCGCGGTTCTTGCTCTGCTCGCACCTCCGACACCAACTCAGCCCTCTTTGAGTGTTCACTCTCACTTATGGACTGTCACTTCTGTTTGTTCGTTCAATCCGCGGCTCGTCTCGCATTGTAACGCGATGTCTCAAACGTCCGAGAGTATATATCACATGGACCTATTCTCGTCGCGCTTAGGTATAATTAATATAAAAAAAATTCCCCACCACCACCACGTCTGTATTATCCGAGTCTCTAAAAACTTCTCACTTACGTCTGATTCCTTCGAAACTATGAAACCTTTTCCATTTCCGATTCCTCCAAGCCTTTGAAACCTCTTCCCCACGTCGTATTCCACCGAGCCTATGAAACCTTCTTCACGTCATATTCCTCCGAGCCTACGAAACCTTCTTCTTCACGTCGTATTCCTCCGAGCCTCTGAAACCTTCTTCCCCACTTCAGGCTCCTCCGAGAGGCTGAAACCTTCTAACTATCCGTCTCTGTGCTGATCACCTGCACTTGTCTCCCTCCCTTTCGACTCATGTTCCGTACCGCGACTCTGATTGCTCCTTGCCTCATGTAGTCGGTGTGATTTGTCGATTTACTCACATGCAAAATTTATCTGTGAACTCCCAAAAATGCTTTGCGTCGCTTTCTTACAGTACAGGCAACCGCACCTGTGTTTATCAATGTTTCCAGCAGGGACGTCCCTGAGTGTTTGTCAACGTTGTGTCGCAAACGGAGTCTTGACCGGAGACGGAGACGTCTTGACAAAGCTTGTGCGATCAGTCGCGCTTCAGTTGATTGGCCACAATAAGTTGAATCAACTCGCAAAGAAACATTAACTAATTATACAGCGAGGTGAAAGTCTACTCCTTTCAAAGCTACCCCTACCGACGTCTTCACGAGAATACAGCCCAAAGACGCTGCAGCAAGAATACATTAAATTCAACCTCAAAAATTATGTAATGAACTAATAGGTCTTTGGCCCATTCGCGACTTTCTGAGAGATCTATAACAAGACGCATTTTGAACCTCACCTCGAACTTCTAAAACCTGTTTCAAAACAAACTCTCTTTTGAAGGATATAGCCAAAATTTATTGATGTGATGAATGATTCTGTGAAATTTGTTTTCCCAAATGACTTAATACGTACAGTGCTCAAGATACCAATATAAGGAAATGCTTAGAGAATTTGGGTTTGAAGTAAGGACGTGATGTATTAAAATATTCCTGAAAGTTTTCCATGAGTAGTGTTTATGTCTGAAAGAGTGCCTGAAGTACTTTAAAATAAATGGAAAAATATACGAGCATTAGGGGTTATTTATTTATTTATTTATATTTAGCAGTTTAATAAAGTATTCGCTAAATTATTTTTTCAGGCGTTCAACAGAAAGTAAATAGTGAGGAAGAGAACGAAATTGCTCCAACATACGATGTAGTTATCGAAGTAGTTCAAGAACAGAGTCGTAAAGAGTTTGGCCATCAGCAGTATGGAATTTGTATACTAGTAATGAAGGTGAGTGTGAAATGCAGATCATAAAACTATTTTCATGTAAGTTACGGAATTGATTCTTTTTTTTAATTTTTCATGCAAAAACTTGTATGTTTGAAAATAACTGTATTAATGTATTTGCGATTTAAAGATTTATAAAAATACAATTTTTTTAAAATTTGTCCACCTAAAATGATATATAATTATATAACCATTATTTTCAAACATCCTACTTACTATATTTCTTGCAATTAATTCTTTCCAGTATACATTCTCATTTTGTATGATACTCATTCGAATTGAACATACTGAAGCAAACCAAAACAAATTAAAATTTTGATTTTTTTAAAGTTTGCAAGGTGAAGTGTCTGAAGTACGAAACATTCATTAACTCTTTGTTGAGGTATAGCAGTTTCAAAATATTCCAAAAATACTTATTCAAAAAATCTATATCAATACTTATTCAAGTGTTTTAAAGGAAAATATAAGAATACTTTTACTTTTGTATTCATTTGCTCTCTATCCAAAACAAAATAAACCAGTTCAATCTCAGACCAAAATGTGACGTTTCTATCCTAAAAATGGGTAATAAACAGATAAAAAAGAAATACCCCCATCTAAAATATAACCTACTAGACTGATATTTTCGATCAAATATTTTACAAACTATTACTTTCTTTAAATTCACAATTCATTTATCAGAAATATTAACTATAATATATCTATGTAGCAATTGAGAGCAATTGTAGATTTAGCATATTAAGAGTTGCAAAAAGCACGCTATTTATTTATTTAAAAAATAAATAGATTTTATTCTTTAATTTGTGTTGCAGGTGGGAGGAAAGTTCCCAAGAAAATTTACTGCTGAGACTATGGACGATTTCCAATTTTTCAAAGGATCTGAAGAACCAGAAAGGTCTTCTAGTGTAACTTCCAAATTGAAACTTGACTCTGGCGATTATCTGTTAATTCCAGCAGTGATGCAAACATTTAAGAGTCGTCATTTCCTTATGCGTATTTACAGCCGAAAACCAATAAAGGTTGCAGCTATTGAAAGACAATAAATTTTGCAGTTTTCCCAATATATTCAAGGCGTTTCTGAATACAACATGTCACACAGAGAGAGAGAGAGAGAGAGAGAGAGAGAGAGAGAGAGAGAAATAATCAAATTACGAAAATACGTATTTATATATCTTATAAAACTTCTTGGAAGGTAATAGGTAAAAAAATAAGTTGTCAATATTTGAAAGTGAAATTTTAATATCAATTCCAATATCTAAATGTCATCTTAATCTGTAAAAAATTCAAATATTGCTGCGAAGCCTTCTCCAAAGACGTTAATTTTATGATGAGAAATATAAATGCATCATTTTTATCAAGTTTATCATCATCTTTTAAAATTGTCACTATATTTAATTACATGATAAATTACTATACATTTATTAAAATAGATTTCTTTAAAATCTAAAATACTGAAAAATGGAGAGCAAAATATCGATCAAAAGTTAGTTCTTGGATAGTCGAAGTTGGTGGTAAAGCATCACTCAGTTAGTTGTTCTTCTAATAACGCATCATCTTCCTGAACATATTGAATAAACTGTTTATTGTTTCCAATTTACAATTTCCATTGAACAAGTTCCATTCCTAGTATTGTACCAGCTAAAAATGTTACAGTGTTTTTACTCATAATACAGTAGTATCAATTTAGGGCAGTCATTGTTTGTAATATGATTAACAGTTTGCCAAATGATTTACTATGAACATTAGTTTGGGAAAAATTAGTATTGTCTAGAAGAAAGTACTTTTAACTTTAGATGTGATTGATTATTACGTAAGATTTATTTTCGCCAAAAGCTGCGAATTCCTTTTTGAAATTTTCTATAAAATATTGACACGTCTCATGTTTTAATATCATTTCCTGGAATGCATTCATACTGCAATTATTGAATGCGCAATGTCAATATTTACATTATAGCGAAGTGATAATTTAATAAAACAATTCACAGCAACGTGGTGAAAATTTATCCTGGCTTTGTTGATGCGTGGAAAGCACGTTTATTCAGAACCTACACTGGGAATACAAATCTTTGCGGTAAATGACGCCTGTTTGGTAATATACTTAGCTTGTCATATATTATTATCACTATTATTACTTATTTTGTATTATACTGATACAAAAAAAATATTGTGAATTTTGTATCCCTATTCATTTTCATTTAATTCATTTCCCTGCTTTATTAAAAATCAAATTTCCTAGAACTGATTATTTGGGAGAGATGATAATTATCCCCACAAAATCAATAATGAAAATATTTTCCAATATCAAATTTCCTAGAGTCAGGACAAAACAGTTTCTTTACCGCATAGAAAGCTGCAAATTATCACTGCATCTGTCCCTTCAAAAATCCTTGAATATTTGTCCCTTACGTCGAGCAAGTACAAGAATCTTTATCAAATATCATTAGTAATTAACTGGCATGTATACCTCTTTAAAATAATTAAGAAAAATATTAACAGGATTCTATTGAATAAATAAATAACAAACAATCGGGATCACTAAGGTTACATCTTCTTTAAGTGATAATAAAAATAATTATTAATTAACCAATTAATTTAATGACAAACTGTAAAACAAATTTCAAATAAATGTTAAAAATCCAAAAACCATTATTTTATTGATCTTACATTTAGTTTAAATACCAAGCTAAAATACGAAATTACGACTTCAACGTATTGTCTCAACGCTAATATTTTAAATGATGAAATAAATGTTGTAAAAATATAAAAGCTAATAAAACATACTTTGAAAGTTCTAACTTTATGTACGAAAATATTCTTAATAAAGTGCATGCAAACAATATTTACATGTTATTTTTTCTCTGTTTTCCCAATTTATTGTTGGTTCATTATTGGTTTTATACAAAGGAAATATTTTCCAGAAAACCATGGTATGTGGCAGAATACTAGCAGATTTCTCTACAAATGAAAATATATCCAAATGACGTATTCTTAGAATACGCTACATATTCTAAAACACTAGTGGAAAGCCCAATACGTCACGAAACGTCACGTTTTGGTTAATTGATGAAATGATTAATTTGTACAGTGGAATCTTCTGGAATAAGTTCAATTTTTAAGTATTTATTGCTTTAAATGATTAATAAGAAAACTAAAGGCAAAAAATAGAGTTTTCTTACCCACCAGATTAATAAAAAGGATGCCAATTGATATTGAAAACTATTTTCCATACAAAAATATAATAATAACTGAGATGTTCATGAAATAAATTCTTAATTTTATTTTTCTCATAGGAAAACAAGCAATATCACAGAAGTACAATATGAATAAACTATTAAGAAATGTACTACTATTGACGAAAATAATACTCTTACTTAATAAGTAATTGAAACGAAATATATTAAATCCTGTTTTAATGATTTCACTTTTAATCTTCTTTCAAAACATTGTTGATTCTGATGGACAGGCACCTCTACCTCAATCAGGCAGGAATAAGTTTTGTCTTGCTAATAACTTCATTTATTTTTTATTGAATATGCACATGAATTAGCCTTTAAGGCGTTTGGCAAAAGGTTAAGAAATATACAATTACATTAGGGTTGAAGAGACGAACAAGAAACGAAATGTAGCGAATGCAACGAAAAATAAATTGTGTTGATTTGCTGTAGGTGAGCTTTATTGTTGATGAAAGAAGGTAAGGAGGATGAAAAAAACGTTAAGGAAATTTTCGTTTTATTCTGTTTCGGTGAGGGTTATGTTTTCCTAGCTGAATATGAATTGTAGGTGGTTTATATGGAAATACAATTTAGTGGAGAGTTGTAGAAAATAATGTTTGATAGGTATAATGCCTAATTTGTTATGAATTTGTTCATTGGGAATTAACCATGGGGATTTCAAACACGTTCTGAGGCAAGAATTTTGAAATGCTGAATTTTGTTTATCCATGTTTTTTAATAGGAACCCCAGATTGGACAGGCATAAGTGAGAATAGAACGGATATCTATTAGATACATTCGAGTTTTGTTTTTGTAGTTAAGGGACTTGGAATATTTAACTAATGGAAGCAGATGGAAGAAGTTAGTGACAATGCTTATTAGCCAAAGAGATTATGTGAAGAACATTGTTTTCTAGGGAAGTCTGTCCATTAAAATGTCTAAATATTTGACAGGTTCATTAGTCTATTTTGTCCGTCAGTTCGTCTGTTAGTCCGTCTGCCCGGTTTACGTCCCTTGGTCTGTCTTACCGTCCGTCTGTTTCCGTCTGTTCTGTGTATGTGAACAACACTAGCGACTAAACAATGTTGAGCATTTTTTCCAAATTGAGGAAACCCTTATCCATCTGGCTTGATTCATTTATTCATTAGGTATTTACATAAAGCTTCTGGGACTTTTCTAAAATTTTCTCAAAAATGTCTCTTTGCCAAAAAATAGTCTTTAATTATCTTGTAAGAATAATGTAAAATTCACTTATAAAGGTGACATAGGCCCAATTTTCACGGTGAGCTCTGAATTTTTGAAGACTTTAAAAGTTTGAATGTTTCCGGGTCTTTCTACAGCAACAAAATTAAAGACAGAGATTAGCGGCAATTTGTTCACATTATTATATTTATGAGTACATGTTCTTTAAATATTGTTCTATAAATTTTCTCGAAAACTCAACCGTTTTCTGTGAAAACTAGCTCAAAAGTTTGCAATTTCAGAAAAGCCAGTTTCTCAAAATGGCTACAAATTTTTTCTTCGAACTTTTCGCAATTATAGTACTAACAGCACTATGGGATTGGTGGGCTAGTATCAATACTAGATGTTAGTGCAATCTAATCTATAACATCCAAATTTGTATGACGTATGAGTGAGATGTAATGGTGTATTTAATGTTTGAAGTTTATGAATTTTTAGGTTAAAGAGGGAAAAAAATGAGTAATTAAATCTTGAAAAATGGCAAATTTATTTTTTGTATGTGAAAAGGTTATTCTGGTTGAAATTGTAATGAAATAGAGAAAGTAAAAGATAGAGAGCGATGATGAGAACGAAGTACATTTGAAACATTGATTGTAACACGGTATGTTATGTTTTTAGAAATTCCGAAACTCACTCTCTTAGCGTGCCTCTCACTCTCTCACCGTCTCTCACTCTCTCACCGTCTCTCTCACTCTCTTACCGTCTCTCTCACTCTCTCAGTCTCTCTCACTCGCCCTCTCTCCCTCTACCTCTCTTTCCTCATTCTTTCTCTCCTCATTCTGTCTCTCTCTCCCTTTCTCCCCGTCTATCTCTCTTTCTGAATCTCTAACACTCTCATACACATTTACTGGCGAAGATTCTACATGTCTTTGAGCAGGTGGTATTTATATACATATATATTTGACATTTTAGGGTCGAAGTAATCCGACTTTTGACAACTTGTAGTATTCCAAAGCCGTGGCACTGTTTTTGTTTCTTATCCATGCCTGAAAGTAAGAGGGAAATATGTGGTAAACATGACTCCCTAGCTTATTTGGTTTGCTTGAGCGTTTTATTTCGACCCACAGATATATTAACTGAAACGATTTATATTAGAAGCTACAGCCTTATTTTCCCAGGGCCGGGGATCGAACTCGGGACCACCTCACAGTAAGCTAGAACACTATATATGAGCCACCAGCAGTGCTTAATCAAGGTATTGTAGACTTTCTTCAAAATATTAATATTTTGTTTCTAATTTTCAGGGTAGGCAAAACAAAAAATATAAAAAACGAAATGTTATCCAACAGTTCTTCAAATCTTCAAATATTTTTTCCGTACTAAATGCAAAATATAGAAATTCCTTTTTGTTGTATTATTTTGTTAACTCAAGAATTAAAAAATGTGTTTTTTATATCCCTCTACAATAACGTCGTAATATTTACATATTGTATACCTAATTGTGAGTACACGTTATTTAAGTGATGTCTTATAACATTTCACGAAAAAATTAGAACTTTTCTGTCAAAATGCACGGGAAATTCCGCATTTCCAGAAACACTCAAACGACGTTTTCTCAAAAACGGCTCGATTTTCATCTTTAATCTTGTTATTTGTTGCATAGTGCTGAATGCATACGCATTCATGCATACGCTTCATGCAACGTACAACATTACATACGTATGTAATTTATTTGATTGTCCGAAGATCACAAAATGCATTTTTGGATATCTAGCATATGGGATATTTCCTTCATTATAGGCAATTGTATTGGCTGCTAGAATGCACTTTGTAGCTGTCAATAAAAAAATAAAATATTAATTTACAAAACAAATCATGGAACTGGTTTGGCTAAACGGAATTCCAAGTGCCAAGAATCTAATATAAAATGCTACGGGACGTTTCAGAATAAAGCAGTGGGAATCATGGTTATTGCGCTGCAGTACATTAGAAATAGTGTCTTATATCATGGTGACTAGAAATTGTGACTTGCATCAGTTGGGATCCTTTATGTCTCAAGTGATATAAAAAGGTTCGCCAACAACTATGATATGTGACTGTATGAATACGACAATGTAGAATCTATTCAACTAGGTACTGGAAAAAAGAAATCAGTTAAGAAAGTTAAAACAACTAAACCATTTGAACTAGTACAACTGTAAATATTTCATCTCAGCATTTTATTCAATTGAAATATATAGGACATCATTGAATGTATCTGAAAAAATATTTTAATCTTAATTTAAGAATCACCCTACGTAAACTGATGGTTGGTCATTCGCGACCTGTTTCAATGTGTGCTATGTTCTTTACCGTAAATGGGTCAAAAATCTGCGTGCATTGCAAATTGACAATCTTGATATAGGTCTAAAGGTTTCTATTGGACTATTTTTCATTTATTGATATGTTTTATTTAACACAATTATGGATGTTTTTATAATTTTTTAAATGTTGCTTCTTAATTTTATGATACGCACGTTGCAGTATTTATCCAATCAGACAGTGAAATCTTGTTGAAAATCTTCCCAATTCCTTAACAAAACGTCTTCAATCTTTGTTTGTGATTCAATATTTTTGCAGTATAGAAAGAAAAGCAAAAAAACATACACTTTAACGTTTAATTGGGATTTATGAAACAATAGAGCATAGAAATAAGTATTTTTTTATTTAAAACCACATAATGAAACATTTTAGTTTGTTACGATAAATTAATTTTATTTTTAAGTGTTTAAGTATTGAAATCTCGTTTTAGTTTGAATGTTTTGGGGGTTTGATTACCTTCATTCAAGATATATTTTTGTTATTTGGCAAAAATATTTGTCTTCCTTAAGTGTAATTCACACTTCCGGCGGCAATCTCAACACTTCCGGAACGCCACCACAAAGCGAAATCAGGTTCCTCATTAACGACGTTGTAATCCTATTATTAAAATATTACGCGTATATCACATCAGTACACACTTTGATGAAAGGTCACATAAAAGACTTTTGTTCAGTAACAGTTCAGAGTAGTCACGAAGAAAGACACTGAAGCAGTAAGGTATATTCAAGTTTCCTTACAACACAGCTATGCCTCTCAAGGTAAGAATATTCTACATTCAACAAGATGTAAATTCGATGTATCTTGTTTTATCAAAGTGTTGCACCGTGTCTGGAATACAAAACTTATAAATAAAGAAAAAATCAATGGAAAATAATATTGCGAATGTAATATTTATATTTTTAAATAAAAGTATTAATTTAATGTGTGAAAAGTACAATATATCAATAAAAATAACTCTCCAGAAAATGTATTGGTACTTGACAACTCTTATTTAACTTGAAAGTTGGTGTTTATAATATAAATCGAGATGTCAATTTACAAGGTTCTAAAATATATTATTCATTACATTTATGAAAAATACCCGCAACTGAATTTAATGTCATCAACATTCAACAATAATTTTACTTGTAATAATATCATGATATGATTTATCTCACAGTGGAACCTTTCAGCGCATCTTTTTGAAAGTATATATTTCATCTTCTCAGATGAAGATAATGAAGATTTCTACATCACTCCACTGCCAACTTAATCTATAAATGTAATGCAATATTTCGTTTCGGGGACACTTTCAAAAGAGCTGATATAATATTTGGATTTCAAAAATTATTTATGTAAATAAATACCAATAAATACGAAAGGCAGGTGATATGTATATAATATGTGTTCTTTTTAATCCAAAATCAATTGGCGTTGTAACATACATTGTAAATATGCTAATTTTCTATATAGTTTTGAAAACCACGTAAGGTGGCCAGGCCGAACCCAGCAAGTGTTACAATTTTAAAACTTGCATGAAAATATTATATTCTTGGGTGATTTTACAAAATGCAAATGTAAACCACAATTTATCCCTTCAGTTTGATTCATTAATTAATAAATGTCCCAGAAATCAAATATCAGATAACCGTTTTCTCTCACGTCAGTAAAATTGCATAGTTCATGAGAACTTCCTGGAAGAGTACTTTTAAGATTAGACGCTCATTACATGTAATATAATTAGTGATTGAAGTCATATACGACCTCAAAGATTATGTAGTGGAAAAAACCTTTAGAAGCAGAAATCAAAACGTCTAATGTTTCTCAATTATTTCGAACTCAAATTAATCTTGCTTCATAAAATAATAATGAATTGAATGAACTGCTTCGTAAAACATGAAAAAATAGGGCGGTAAGAACATGACTATGTTTCTATGCTCAGGAGAAGGAGAAATCGCTGATGCAGAAGCTGGTGTCTGATCAAAAGTATGTGGACGAAGACTTCCCTCTTCCGGAGGACAATTGGTTGCGGCCTCACGTAAGATTCTTACGTATTTGATCAAAATCGTTCGAGAGAATAATTCTTGCAAATGTGAATGCATAACGAGATAAATAAATTAAACTTATAATCTTGACTAGAAGAGCTTCAATCAACGTACGAACAAAATAATTTATTAGTCTATTATTATATTCTTGTTTGTATATTGTAATCTCTCATCTCATGTCCTAAAACAATATAAAATTATGTTATCTAAATTTTTATTGTTATATTGTGGGTTACTAATATTTTTTGTTATTTCCGTACACGTTTTACAGAATGATCTATGATTCATATTTAAACAGTTTTCCCTAATTGAATTGCAAATAAACTATTTATTTACCTTCTGGTTAATTAATTATTATTATATTAATAGTATTAATTTTCCCCATTCTGAGGGAATATCTGCCTAAGAGGCAGACGCTTCTAAAAAGCATCAATGACTCACCATGTCATCATGGAATTCAATTTTTTGCTTGTTTTTTTCTAATACGTGTTCGTATTAAAAAATACGTTATTAAAAATCTGAACGTTAATTTACCAACTTTGACAACAAATACAGTTGAAATAATTATGACGTTTTTTAACATTTTACATAATCATTGCTAGACTATCTACAAGTAATCATTTTTAAGTAATTAACATAAAAATCCAAAACCCTTGAGTTGAAAATATACCAACAGTATGTTTAAAACAGTTGAATCAAAATACAGACGTCACAATAAAACTAGGTGCTAAAACAGCTCTTAAGTTCTCGCACTTTATCAACATCTGTCACTTTTGAAAATTCAGAGAGTTCAACATAAATGAGACAACTTTATTCTTTTAAGCGCTTCTTGCTCTATCAGTGTAAAAAAAATCGAAGACAAAATTTTGAGCAACATTAGAAAAAATTATTATTTTTATAAATTGTGTTAATTTCACCCACAAATTATTAAAAACTTTTTGATACTTCAAAAAGGGTACATTTTTTAAAGAGCGTATTCCTTTACAACTTACTGTTTCTCCGACAAAAATCTCTATATCTAATTTGCTAGTTGTTGGAAACCGCTAAAATAACACTTTTACAATTTGCAAACAATAAGGGATTTCAACGATCATGGGACCTGCACCTTTCTCTTAAGTGTACTTAAGGTATCCTAGGACAAAGGTTGATACAAAAACTGGTGACATTTTTAAGAAATTGTTGAAAACGTTCTTAAAGTTTCATGTAAATTCCCCTCAAAAATCAAAACATCCGTTTGAGACCCTTAAATCCTTTGGGTTCATTCAGATCGATCGGGAAATATCAATTTTTGAGACAATCAGCTGAACAGTTTTGGTGTTAGCGTTGACCACACAGAGCCGAAGAATGGAGAGACGATTTGCGTCAATCGATTTGAACGGACGGACAAAGACGTTCTGCCATTAATCGATTAATGACTCACAAAACATGCATTTTGCCTATATCACGTGTTTCAGAAAGTAATTTACTACGTATAGAAACATTATTTACCCACTTCTTCATTAATAGGGGGTCAACACTAAAAGTTTTACTGTCTTTTTACATTCATAAGGGCAGAAAGCATAAAGGCATTGAGTAATAACGGAAAAATACAAAAATAGCATATAATGGTTCACCGTGAATCATTAGACATCTCAATAAATTAATGGCTCATGGATTTTGGTGTTATATATATATATATATATATATATATATATATATATATATATATAAAGTACATCTGCACAAGAAGCTGATGTTTGTATCGAATTCGTATACTTTATCTACAGAAATTAAACGAGGTCAAAATTTAATCAACAAATATAGTAGAATTTTTGAGAAACAAATTCTAAAAAATTTGGGAATTGCTCTCTTAAAACTATCTCGTGTAAAACTATTCAAATTTTTGAAAAAAATTAAATTACATAATTTCAAAATCTATCTTTAAAGAACCTATTTCATTTAGGGAAAAATCTTTATCTAGAAATCACACTGGATGTAGCAAGACACCGAAAAAAATGAACTTTTGAAATTTTCAAAAAATTACGGATTTCAACACAAAAGACATATGTATATTTACAATTAATCGAAACAGTTAGTGCCTTTTACTTCGAAGAATTAAAAGTGTCCCTGAGGAATGTAAAGTATCACTCAAAGTTAACATATAGCTCTTAAATTCAAGGGGCCACGACAACAGCTAGATCAATTGGGAAATATCAATTTTGGTGAAAATGCTGTTTACGATTTAGCCGCTTGCATTGTTCATAGACAGATGTACGGGCAGACAGATAGACGAACGGACAGACAGATAGACCGACGGACAGACAGATAGACCGACGGACAGACAGATAGACCGACGGACAGACAGATAGACGGAGGACAGACAGAGAGATGTTTTACCATCAATCGATTTTTCAGTATATAGGGCTCTACCTATGCGTGTTAGAGGAAGTAATTTACTATGTAGGGAATATATCCAATGTTTCATTATCAGCATACTGGGAGAGGCAAACGTCACTGCAGTGCATCTGAGCGGGAGGTCCTTGGTTTGAGTCCCGACATTGGCAAGATTTTTGACATTAGACTGTCTGGTAGGTGGAATTCAGTCGCTGTCTGGAGGAGAATTCTAACAACCGGTTACTCTGATCTGTAGTTATCCGTGTTTTCTTCGATCAACACCAGGCGAATGTCGGAGTCGTACTCTAACAAACGGGCCACGGTCCGCGCGAGCGATCTTTCCATCCTCTGTGGAACACACAACATGCATTACTCTTCCACACATGCCGGGAGCCCGGTCGGGAGGTTAGAGCTTGTCCCGACTGGGAGGGTGACCCGCTGGTGGAAGATGACTGGTTGGGGAAAACCCCGCTAGGTCGGCACCGGATCTCACCATCCAGCGGGGGAAGACCACGCCATAATTGTGTATTATCTTATTTCAAGATATGACTTTGATCATTTTCTTATAAAAAAACTGTATTTTCAATTGTATTGGAGCTATAGGAAGACACACCAATTTGTTGAACTTTCACAATTTCCGAAAAATTAGGGACTTAAACAAAATAGGCCATTGCGCCATTATTTAGAGTGCTATATTATATCCAAGAACAAATTTTAATCAAAAAATTTGTGGCTATATTTGAGAAAAGTTTTGGCTATATTTGAGAAAAGGCGCTAGCCTGAGCCAGAAACATATATATGTTTTCCCGTCGATCAAGGACCGACATCAAGAATCCACAAAAGATGGGTTCTGTCATCCGAGCGTGTGGTAAGAAGTAATTTACTGCCTCCGGAAATAAGAGTTCTCTGTGTAAAATTGTATTTTTACCGCAGAATTACAATACTTAGTAAAACTATGAAAAACATCTGCATATTCTTAGTAACTAAGCACTACGCGAGAAAGGGAGAGAATAAAGTGTCTTTCCTTACTGAAGCTTTAATATGATATCGGTTTCTATTATTGAATGCATATTACTACTAAAACATTTCAAACTTAACAAGAATCAGGTTGCTATATAATTTTTGCGACTGTATAATATCTATTCGATAATATAATAAATATTCATAAAATATAACTCCATCAATTTGATATGTTCTTGTTTCGGCCTTATCTTAAAAATTTACTTTCTCACTGAATTAGGTGACTTCAATTAAAAATGTCTGCGCCAAACATTGGGTTCAAAGACGATACATGGTGCTCTAAAAATGCACATCATGGTACAACACACAATATTCATGCCTAGCGCGTGTTTCGCAAACACAGCCGGAGCATAGCGTGTATTCGAAAGCCCATGCTCCTCTGAGTGGTCAGAAACAGTACGAAAAGGGTTGAAACGTTAACAGAGTGTTGTAGATTACAAGCAAACATCCACGATCAAGACAGGATTCGAAGCCTAGATAATTCGAATAGAGATTGCTATGAGACGCCCTACCCATGATTTCGGCTACTCAGGTCGGCAGGTACACTCTTTTTATGTTTCACAGGAAATCGTTCCAAAACCCAAGATGTTCGTTGACGGTCCGAGCCATATGGATATAATACAGGAGAACTTGGGAGACTGCTGGTTTTTGGCTCCCAGTGTGGTCGCCACAAATCATCCCAATCTCATTCATTCAGTGCATAGATAATTTAAGATTAAAAAATATAGATTCTTTTGTAAGCAATGATCATTACTTCGTAATTTATTCATCAAAAAATCACATATAGGTTACAAATATTAAAAACCAACTTCCTATAAACTTAGAAATAAGAAAGCATGATATTATAGTATTAAATTAAGAATAAAAAAAATATAAAGGTTAATTAAGTACAAAAAAAATCATTTTCATAGAATGTACATTTGAGTGCATGAAGTACAGAACGGTATAAGTGACAGTTTATAAATTCAGAGAAATTTGTTTATTTAAGTCTATATTACTATAAAGTGGTGACACATTGTTTCATCATTAAAACCACGGCATTTAAATTGTTCATTTAAACCAAGAAAATACATTACCAAGGAAATATAGCCTAAAATATCTTCATTTTTATCAGAATTTATAAAATATCATTAATTCTGTTCTGGTTTTCAGCCATTTATTTGTGAATACGATATTTAGATTATGTATGTTCATTAATTTCTATTGTATACCAGCATTATAAACGGTTTTTTAAATTACGATAAATCGTTCATAATTGGGAATTGTACGGCAAAAAGGTTGGATTTCACAACATGAATTATTGTGCCATCACAATCAGTCAATCGCAGCTAGAGAATTGTTAGAGGCAAACAGAACAGCCGACCATCGTTTTCTTGCACAGTTGTCAAATACCCGAGGCGTCACGAGAAAGTTGTTTCGAAAAATTAAGATTTACTTAAGATTTAATTAAAATTAACATTATAAATTTATAATACTGTTATACCAAATAATAGCTTATGCAACTCGTTTATAATATTGCTTTATTGCATTGGGTACTAATTTGTAAAGTCGCTCCTAATGTTGCTCGTTTTCAAAACATGTACTTCTGCAATAAAGCTTAACATTATAAATTAATTGCATACACTACGTTTGTAATTCGTAGTTTTGATGTATTCCATTGCTTTTTTAATGAGTTTTTTAACATCTGACGATATTCGAAGACCATACTAACATTTTTCAATTGAACTTAAATTGTTACTTATTTCTCACGCCTATTAAGGATGTTATGTTAATTTGTAAATAATTGTTTTACAACTAGAAATGATATAGCTTCTGATGAAAAATAATCGCCTGCTTAAGAACTACCAGTTTCATTATGTGACTCCGTACGTGAATACATACTCTAATATTGTAAGGCATTTAACTAATAAACGTTAATAAGTTGAATCCGTGGGAACTATTTTATAAAATATAGCATTTTCAATGTTCATAGATATTAGGATTATCGACGTTTTTGACTACTTTTGCTAAGATCGGAGTATCTAGAATCGTTAAACTTGTATATGTAATGGAAATATCTCATTTCATAGTTTATGGCCTCAATAACATAAAACGTGTCTCTCAAAAAAGAGGCAGAGTTCCGAAAGGGACACAAATGATCGGCTTTGAGGTCAGAGGTCGAACCCTTTGGTCACACGAACCGAAGGTAACGTGTGACGTATGTGAATTGCATGTGTCGCTGCTCAATTATTCATAGCATAATCTACACACTTCTAAAACGTTTTGTTTTTAATCGCAAGCATCCTTGTCAAGTATATACTGTAGTGATGATTTTAAGGAATTTTGTGTTGGTAGCTTTGTTTAAATCGTGCAAAAGAGTCATCTTTCCTCAGTGCTTTAAGGGGAAGTCCATCTTTCTTAATAACTTTCAGGCTTAAAGTTCTGAATAATTTCTGAAAAAGTGACATTTATTTGGCCTTCTCTTACACATAGTTGTACATACATTCTCACAATATGTTCATACATGCACACATATAGGAATGCAGACATGTATTATTTATATGCTAATATGTACATTGACACCTTGCTTTTTTATAAAGATATACCCTTCCAAAAATGAAGCTCAGATTTACTGGATAATAAAATTTTCTATTAAAAAAATATTCTAGGAATGAATTTTATAAATCTTAAGTTGCTTCTAGGTGATACCCGTAGATCAACCTCTCTATGGCAAGGATTACCAAGGAATTCTGGTTTTTCGTTTCTGGTACTTGGGGAAGTGGACACCAGTCTACATCGATGATCGACTTGCTGTGTCAAAGAATAAGCATCTGGTTTATGGTAAATGCACGAAGAAAAATGAATTTTGGCTGCCACTTTTAGAGAAAGCTTTTGCCAAGTAAGTAATAATTTACTTTTCTATATTTCCATCAATAAAGTAGATAATAACACTAATGGGAACACTGCTTTAATTCTCAGAGCATGAAATACAGAATGGCAGATTGAAATTACAGATATCTAATTTTAACTTGCGTTTAATGAGATTTTGAACCAGAATAATCTTCTAGTTAATAAATCTCAAATAATATGTCTGAAATGGAGGTTTCAAATGTATTTAAACGATGTGCTTTTTTCATGTCTAGATTTCATGGAGGGTACGAAAAAATCCACGGAGGCCTTTGCGGTGAGGCGTTCCTGTGTCTAACAGGTTATATCTGCCACCGATTCTTCCTGGAACCCCCAATAAATGAAGTGGAGTTGTTTGATATGTTTACAAGAGAGATGCAACACAACGCTTTAATCGCAGTCGGGGCTCCGGTGAGTGACATTCGAAGCTACCTTGCTGATTTGAGGCTAGATCGCGCTTCCGTCTAGTGATTTTTAACAACAATAACAACAAAATCTGTAGGCAGTTTTTAAATTTGGGAAAGACGAAGAAAAATCCAAAACTTAGAATGGTTGAACATATAAACAATTTAAAATAAAAATCTTCAATGAATCCCTGAAATGTTAGTAACTATAGCTGTTTTTTAGTTTTAATTTAAAGTCATGTTCAGTGGCATTTTCTGAGAGGAGGAAAAGAAATAGTTTACCTCTGACACATTTTCGTTTGAATGTAATTACCGCATAACATATTTGTTTTAAAATATGAGGAAAATAAATATTTTTTTGTTTATAGTTATCAAGAAATGGGTTGGATCGAGTTTAAAATGCGCGCTTTTTAAGCGACGAGAAAACTTGAAATCGCTTTACCAAAGAATTGTCGGCGTTATCTCTTTTCGGGTAGAAATCCAGAAAGGCAGCGCTGTAACGGTCAGACGTTATTCTTCTTTCTTTGTGACGTCACATCTAGAAAAGAAGCGTCAGACTACTTACAACAATTGTGATTGTGAAGGTGCTTTGACGAGCTAAATGATCTATGACCTAATCAAGACAACGTTTTACATCTATAATTTCAAAAGTTAATGATTTCGTTATTAAAAGAAAAAAGTTATTAGTTATACTGAAAATGTCAAATGAATATACATACAACCAAAAAGGTGAAAAAGATACGAAACCACTTACATAATTGTATTTCATCTAGTTATTATTTCTGTCAAAAATTTCAAATTATATACTGGATACTTTTCTTTCAAATAAAAAAATCATTAATTGCAATACAATCTGTTGGGACACGAGATAATTGGGAATATAAAGCATCTTAATATGGGAAAAATTCTTTGTCGTGCCATTTACTATAATGCATAATGCAACTTCTGAAAAGTGAGATACTTCAAATATTAAAAACCAATGGAAGGTTCGAATAAAGTGAGCACTTGTAATTTTAACACTTCGTACTTGAGTATGGTGTAGTATGAACCTTTAAATCCGAATGAATTATTTTCATTCATATTTCAAATCTGAATAAGGTAAGGAGAAGTTGGGATTCTGAAGCTCAAACTTTTTAACGAAAGTAAATCAAATTCCTCATTTAATCTTGAGAACATGGATAAGCGACTTGTGGCTTTCGTACGACGCTATTGCGATCCCAATCACAGTGTACATTGAACAGAATCCGTGGAACTGTTATTGAATTGTCTTAACCTTATCAAAGTGGAATTTTAGAATGTGTTCAATTGAGTTTCTTTTTCATAATTATTCACTCAATAACCGGAGAGGAATTATGAAGAATTGACGCACGCAGTCCAGCTATACTTTGTGTACGCTAAGGAATGTAAATGTTTCGTCGATGTGATATTGTGGCGCTTTCGTGTGTGCATTGAGTTGGAGACGAAGGAATTCATATGTCCCGGTTCTCGCCACGCGTATCTTACCTTTGAGGGCGTGTACACGTGGTTCGCGGAGAAACATCGTGCGGACTGGTGCGCTCCGCAACCGTGGGCGCCAGTAGCCAAACATCTGTGGAGTGATAAGGCGCATTCAAGCGACAAGTACGGCCTCCTAGCACTTGTTCTTGACGCAACACACACTGTTTGTCTTGTATCTTTTGTTACATTGCTACAACATTATATTTCTTCCCTTCTCCCTCTTTATGATCCGGACTCTTTTACTGTTTCATTCTTCTTCTGCGTAATTTTTTCTTGTTGTTCTTTATCATTCTATCACATACAATATCTATTCTTTTCTCTTTTATAATCCTACGATTGTTTCTGTTCATCAAATAGTAATTCATCAAGTTTAAAAAGTATTATCTTTTCCTTTGAGTGTACACTTTTTTTCTCTACAAATAAACTGAATTAATGAAATTACAGACATCCACGTGCGCGAAAGCGCGTGGTGAATGGAACAGCACTTATGGAGTGGAAAGGTGCATTTCAGCGAACAAGTAGGGCACTCCCTTGTAATACTTATTCCACCTTCCAGACACACCATTTTAATTTTTGTCGTTTCCGTATACCATCTTTTTTTAATGCTAATATCAGCCATTTTGGATCACGCACCACGTTGTTCTCCAAGGCCCAGTCATATTTATCCCAAGGAGATTAATTTGTTTTTACTCGCTATAAGGAATAACCTTTGACTGAACAATTGATTCATCCTGAAAGTGGTTAGCCTGGAAATATGAAGAATGAGGGGACAGAGTGGTAATGAGAGGTGAAGGGATAATCACAAATACGTCCATGCGTAAGCAGGATTCGAATATGCAGCCCCCTCAGAGCAGGCGACAGCTTCCGAAACCGCCTACGCAGGGGGGACTGGCCATTCACCTTATTATTATTATTATTATTATTATTATTATTATTATTATTATTATTACTATTACAATTATGAATTTCATTTACTTATTTACCTCTCTCCTCCTTTTCTTCTTTCATCTTCTCCCTCTTCTCTCTTCCGCTATTTCTGTCTTCTTATTCAATTTTTTCTTGATCTAATGTTATTCTTTTTCTTTCAAAGTCATTCAAGCCAAAGTTTTCAGAGATTTATACTCTTATACCTTCACTTTCATCTTTTCTTCCAATAAGACGAGCATTTATTTAATTGAAAACATGCTGTCCACGATTTATCCACTGACACTTTTCACAGAAAGATGGATGAATAGAGTGACAGACCGACATACGAAAGGCAGACGGACGAACGGATGTTACATACACTATTTGTTTGGTATAAAGGATCCATAAAACGTGGAGTACACTAGACAGTAAAAATGAGAAAATTATTCTGACAAGATTTGAAATTATAAGGGTCCACTTTCGTGTTATTGGTGTATGTGCTCCAGGATAGGATATAGGATTAAGATTAATAGGATTAAGATGATTATCTTCAATTATTTTGCTAGATACTTCAGATGCAAATTGTGCAAAATCGAAAACACGTTATTTAAAGTACACATTCATCACAAAAATATATTGATGTAAATCTTATTAACCGCATTAGTATTTTCAGTTACATTTAAAATTTTGCAGCCATCTCATAACAAAGTTACCACAAAAAGTTAATATTTTATTCGTTTGGTAACAGTGATCCGAAATGGACTGGTGTAGATGAAGAGACAAAAAAGAAACTAGAATATGTAAAAGAAGAGGATGGACAGTTCTTTATGAGAATATCCAATTTTGTGACCCATTTCCCTATGATTTGGTTTGCTTCTCCATTTCCCGATTTTGGAGACAACTACGAAACAACTTCTCTGCAGGTAGGTATTAAGAGAAAATGCTATAGGGGATTAAACAATATTTAGGATGCGAGTCATGTGGAATGGTATTTGCTGAAATATATTCTAATCATTATATTCGTACATCCGATAATTTAATTATGAATTTTGCGATTGATTAAAATCTCATACTTTACTTTTTAGACGTACCTTATTTGGAATTCATGGGATGCAGAAATTACAATGGAAGGTGATACTCCAAGGGAAGTTTTTCTGAAGAGTCCCCAGTATTCTCTTACTGTTGGAGAAAGTAAGTATGAATTTGTTACCAAACCTTTAGAACACTTTATTGAAAGTTTTCTTTCTGAACACTGCACAAAAGTTCACGCGTAATATGGAATTAAACAGAAAAATTGAATCGTTTATTGAAAGCATTGAATCGTTTACAGAAATGCATCAAGCGCCAACATTTAAAATATGCATTAGCGGCGGATTATTGTTCCAAGATGATAGACATCGTTACGTGAAAAATATTCATTTATCAACTGCTTTAATAAATAAAAATATATGGGAACCAGAAAATATAGGAGACTTTTTCTCTGTTTTCTCGAAATAAATTTGGCGTTTGACGTGTTTCTGAAATAAATGATTCCATTATGTTTGAAACAAAAGTTATTCCCAACAATTACTATATTAAAAAGTTAACTATGAAGAAGAAAAATATTCATTCAGCTATATATCAATAATACTATTTTGAAGCAGATAATTGTGTCCTGTGTACTCTCTCCGGAAGCCCCCAAAGTCATGGCATGAAATCGTAGACTATCCTGTGAGTCTATTCTAGACATGTGCAAGGTTATTGCTCGTCGACCAGGTTCGCAACTCGCGAGCGCAAAGTACAGACGTTAGTGGCTCATGTCGCGAGGGCCGACTTCTCCGTGTCCTATTAGCAAACGAAAAAGGGGGACCACGTGGATGATGGAATACCTCGATGAGGGTATATCTCGAAGGGAGATTACCTCAATGAGGGAATACTTGGAAGGGGTAATAGCTGGTAGGTAGAATACCTCGAAGAGGAAATAAATGAATGGGAGAATATCTGGAAGGGTGGACATCTGGTAGGAGGAATATCTGGAAAGAAAAAACACTTGGATAAGGAAATACTCGAACAAAAGAATGTCTACAAGAGAATATCTGTAATGGGTACCTAAAAGAGGAGTTATTTGAAAGGAATAGGAAGATAACTGGAAGGAAATATTATGTTTGGGAAGAAAGAAGGTGCGCACTATAGTAATGCAGAAGAAATAAATGCTGAAACGGATTGTTCAAAGTTACGAAGGTAAACTAAATCCAATTAAAGTATAGTATCTATGTGTAATTACAAAATTGAAACCTATATACAATCTGCTTTGTACAAATGTATCTTTTTTTAGATTAAATTATTAACGTAAATGCACAATTACTATTTCAATTATTTCCTTTTATATTTATTTTCAAATTATTTATGTGACTTCAAGTAATTGCTGCTCAAGAAAATATATTGATTTTAATGAATCTTCAGATATTTTCTGTTCTTTTTAGTTACGCTCATTACGTAAAATAACTCCTCACAAATACAATTAGAACCTTTTGAGTAGGAACGGCAATTGAATAGGCAGTATTTACGTGTATGCAGGAAACTGCAGTCTCCTCAATCTGTAACTATCGTTTCCGGAACCTTCATGAGACCTCGCCCCGAAGGCGCTGCCCCCTTAAATATTAGCAATTGAACCTCAAAACAATGGTATAATCGATACAGGTCTTTGTACCATTCTTAACGTTCAAAGAAATATAACGAGTCTCATTACGAATTTACTTGCTCGAACGTTCTTCTATCCTGCCACACAAACGAACTCAATTTCCAAGGAAACGGACACGGACAATTTAGACTACTAGTATACCATCTATTTTCTCCATTGGTATGATATACTGCTCAAGTTGTGGATTCAAGTGCCCGACTTGGCGAATTATGCGAAGCTGAGTTTGATATGAATGCGTGATTATGCGTATAAATATTTCCGCTAACTTTCAACAAGTTCTGTTTCATGTCTTAAAGAGTACCTCCGTAAAATACTTTAATTTAACAGAAAAAATAGAATATTGTAGGTCATTTAAAAGGATATTTAGTAGTATATGTGTTAATTGGATTTAACGAGGCACAAAATTTGATAAATTATATGCTGAATAAATATTTCAGGCGCCCAACCGGAAAAAAATAGTGAGGACGAAAGTGATATCGCTCCGACATACGATGTTATTATCGAAGTAGTTCAAGAACAAAATCGAAAAGAGTTTGAAGAAGAACTATATCCAATTGGCATAGCAGTATTCAAGGTAAGTTCAAACTGCAAAACACAAAAGAATTTTCACGTTAGTCAGGATGTGATATTCTAAGCAGGAAGTTTCTTATTGAAATTGTTAATGCACAAGGTAATTTATATTTCATTTTTTAAGACGTTTAAAAGAGACAAGAAATTATTGTAGTATTTAATGGTTCTAGAAAACCAAAAAATATTGTCACAATAGCATTTAATTGACTTTTGTAAGAAATCAAAATGCACCAAAACACCACCAAAAGTCAAAATTGACCAAAACACCAACGTTACTGACAAATGAATTTCTGTTAAGAAGAAAAGAAATGTTATTATAACTCTGTCTCAAAAGAGAAATGTTTACAAAAAATAATAATCTGATATCATTTTACTTAAATATAACTCTAAAAAATTACGTTAATACAATATTTTGAAATGAATTATACCGTTTTTACATGTTAAAAATCTGAAGGGCGAACTATCTATTTACACAGGGTGAAACAGCTGATAACACGTTTGTGCCGACGTTTCAGCGCCATTCTGCGATCTTTTTCAGGGCGTAATGGGAGCATTACACCCTGAGGAAGGACGCAGAATGGCGACCAAAACGTCGGCATCTTTGCCATGGACGCGGCGTCACCCGGGCAGCCATTTAAATAACGTTTTGACAGTCGATGACATAAACAGGAGCTACTTCATTACATCATATTTCGTCTTTGAACTATTTTTTACTACGTATATGTAAGGTCAACTTCGTTTTTTAATGGAACCCTATGCTAAATTTAAGCGTAACATTTTGAGCTTAAAAAGACGATTTCAAGTATAGGCAAATTTTCTTATTTAAACGAATAATTATTTAGAAATTGATGAGATTTTGAATGATTTTTTCCACCTAAGCGAACTTTTCTGCTAACCAATTGGGGAATTTTGCGAGTCCGTCCTTTATACAAACAGGCTCATTTATTTGAGCACAGTTGTATCTGAAAGATTCAAATGCTGCATACAAAATTCCTGCTAGTTCTTGTTTTGTCACTCAAATAATATTCTGTTATTTTGACAACAGTGACAACATATTCTATTATAAATTTTAAGTAAATAATGCACAAATAAATTATCAATATCTAATTAATCATAATTTATTCGTAATTAATAACGCTGCATACAAGAACTTCGTATGCAGCGTTTGGCTGAAGGACGGACTCGCTAAGTTCTCCAATTAATTAGCAGAAAAGGTCATATGGAAAATCGTCGCTTCAGTGGAAAAATACGTTACAAAAACTTATCAATTATACGCTTAAATACGAAAATTCACTCATATTTGAAACCACCTCTTTGAGATCATTATGATACGCTAAAATTGAGCATAGGGTTTCATAAAAAAGATAGCCCACCTGACATCTTCATAGTAAAAAATAGCACAAAGACGAAGTATGGTGTAATGAAGAAGCCCCTGTTTATGAAATCGAGTGTGCAAGCGACATCTTCGTATCTTGTGCGGTTGGAGAGATGCAAAGGGTGTTATCACTTAATTTTTCCACCCTGAATAAATAACAAATATAATTTCCAGTTGATAATTTATATTGCAGATGGGAGGAAAATTTCCAAGAAAATTTACTGCCGACACTATGGAAGATTTTGAACTGTGCGATGGATCGGAAGAGGCAACACCGACTAGCAGTGTTATCGCCAAACTGCAACTTGACCCTGGAAAATATCTTGTCATACCATGCGCGATGGAAACAATGAAAAGCCGTCAATTCCTTATGCGCATCTTCAGCCGAAAACCAATAAAAGTTTCAGAGATAGAACGAGATTAAATTTTGTCGATTTCCCATATGAGCAAAGAGTTTCTGAATAACACTTGGCAGAGAAAAGGAAAAATAATATAAATAATAACAAACAAACCTTGTAAGCAAACTCCAAACCAAAACATAACTACGAGGATAGTTAGTGAAAATATAATATAATTATACTTTAGAGTTACGTTTAAATGAGGTGTTTAATGCCATTATCTATATATCATTATTCTAAATTTTAAATTTTTCAAATTTCAAAATTTTTGAATCTCGAAAACAATATTACAATTAAATTTAAAGTCAAAAATCAATACTTTATTGCACATTACTTAGTTGTCAATGCAAACTGTAAAAAATATGCATGCGAAATGGTTTCCAAATACTCATATTTCAAACAATGAATTGCATTCTGTAAGAATAATTAATATATTTAAACCATTTTGAAGGATGTTTAAGATACGTACAAAAATTACTCTTAATTGATTGCATTGTATTAATTTTAATTAAATTGTCATGAAAGCAACACTATTTAGTTTTTATTTATTTTTATTCTTCATTTATTATGGATTCAATGTTCATTTTATTATAAGTGGAAGTGTGATATGTTTCATTTATACTACATTCTGTATGTATATGAAGAACCTATACCTCAGAATAAAGCGGTATGTAGTTGAATATGTATAGAGTTATTCAGAAATGAAAATATCCGCAACTGGCGTGTATTTAGAATACACTACGATTTCTAACGTAGCAGTGACGAGCTCTGAACATCACAATGTTTCTTGATTATTACATTGCAAAGGCTTGAATATTTTCGCATTTTCATCGTTAATTGGTTTTAATTACAGAAAGATTCACAAAGCAATCAAAAACAAAAACTGATATTTCTAATCTACACATATCAGAAAAAAAGTAAATTGTATTCGAAAATATTTTTTCTCAGATCAAATATTAAAAGTATAATATAATAACCAATAAGTGATTGTCCATAAAGTACGCAACGCTGAAGACGGGGAGGGGGTTTGAGGCAGCGTTACGCTGCGTTACATAGGGGCAGGGGGGTTGATTAGTGTTACGTATCATTGATTTTTTCTTTTTCACATTTTTAACACTTGTTGAAATACTTTCTTTTTCAAGTTCTTATACTAAAACATTGAAATATTATCTAATTAATTTGTTTTAAGACATAAATAATTACTTGTTATTGGAAGTTGTTACAATAAACGGAATTTTTCTCATATTTTTTATTGAATCTGTAAGATTAAGAAAAATATTTAAAACTGATCTGTAGTATGGATGAATGAATTTGATTTTACAACTTTGTAAAAATACAACAGTTGAATAAGACAAATGCATAATATTCACAATACGCTCAAAATACATACAAGAACGTAATATATGCTAAATACTATGCCTTTTCCTGTAATTAAGGATCACACTGATCCTTTTACCTGTGCCCTCTAATAACCACCTCACATTGTCCTCAATATTTCATTTCCTCCACATTCTTCCTTCCTCAAAAACAAGACATCTCTCTAAAAATGTTCCCAATCTTCTTTCATCTCACAGATCCTACATTATTTTCCTCAATATTGAGCCAATATTTGCTCGCTCTCAATTCATAACCTAACCTGTATCTTGCAATCCTACCTGTGTAATTTTCCTTATATTTACCTTTCAAAAACCTGGGAATATCATCCATCTAAATAATTTTATATTGTTTATTAAATTTTGAAATTTTTTTTACGTAATCTTCCTGCAGTCACTGATCTTTATCTCTTCGAATCAATTCTTTAGTTAAGTCTAAACCTTCTCTTCTTAATCTTGAGACCTTCTCCAAGGAAACACCTTTATTATTCCAAAAACTTTCCCTTTCTCTTTCCTTTTCCCAATCAGATTTCTCAAATTCTACGTTTTGATCTATTTCCCAACAAATTTTCTTAAATAGCTTGATTCAATAAGTTAAATAAATTGATTCCCCTCTTGTCGTCCTATCCTCAAACTTACTAGCCATTTTTACGATTCTATTCTTGATTTTGGCCTCTTTGTCTGCCATCTTACCATGCAACAAGGTGAACAATATTCTATTCCTAGGATCCATCTTAAAAATCTTACATGTATTGCTTCTAGTTTCCTCTTTTCCTTCCATCCTTAAATTTATGCTCCCCACCTTAAAACAGAAACAATACTGTCATATATTCTCATACCCTTTGTCCAAAAACTGATCTGTAGTATTTTCTAGAGCAGTAGACTCTCGACCTTACGCCGTCCACAACGGCGGCGTGTACACGGCTTCTAATCAGAAATTATCTCGCCTATGCGTCCTTTCTTCGCTCAAAACTTCCCCCTACCTTATTGTTGGGTGAAGTCGGAACGTAAATATTTTGGTAGGAGATACAAGCGCGTGTAGTGGGTGAGTTACATGGGGGAGTGGGTATTCAAAATACTCCAAGTTTGCTTTACGTAATGAATGGATGACTTATTAATTCATGTGTAATACATTTTTCGTTTCATTCAGTTCTTAGAACAACTTTGAACATAAAAGTAAAAGTTTGAACATAAAAGTATTGATCTAGAAATGAAATACTGATAGCGTAAATAACTATTATTTAACAAGTAACTGAAACTAAATCTATACATTAATGTTTAAATGTCTACAGTTCAAAAGTATTTTGTTAAGGCGGTATCGTATTGTATCAGATATTTAAGAATATCAATATAATGCGAATAGGAATCAGCTTTGACTTGCTAGTAACTTCGTATATTTGGAAAAGACAAAATTCACACAGAAGTATACCACTCTCTTCATAAAATTATCTAAGGACTTTCTGAAACTTAAAATGTGAAATATTATAAACTCACCATCAGATGCGATGAACAGGAGAAAGTATGGTAATAACAACTCACCTAGAAAAGAAAAATAATTTTAATCACAGAACTAACAATTGCAAATGACAATTTAGTTGGGAATTATAATTAAGAATTATAATAACAGCACATGAAAGAATAATAATTGGTAACTGTAAAAGCTGTGCAAAATGACAATAATAATAGTGTACTACATTTATGTTAAAAAAATTCACATTTATTAAAAAATAATTAACGTAGATAAAGTCTTTGGATTATACCGCATAGAAGATAGAGCTGTAGAAGTAACAACAGAAACGCACTAATATGCACTATAGTCAAGTGAAGGTTTCAAAAATATTATTTCATATAATTTAGTAGTTATTATTAAAGACTATTGAAATGTGGAGATGTCAGAATCATGTAGCAATCATGTCCTTTGTGAACGCACACATAGTTAAACATTTTTCTGGAAATGTAATTAAACATTTTCAGAGTAAATTAATACACCACCAACTATATCTAAACCCTATTTTATTGTTTAGCATCTGATAAAAGAAGATACAGAGTATTGATATTACAAAAACGTCAAAAGCAAAATATTAATAAATTGATACTTGGAAAAAGCAATGCTTGCATCTTGACAAAAAGTCCAACAATGAGTATTTTGATTAAAAATAAATCATTCCTGCGTAAACTTCTAGAATATCAAATTTCACCTTCTTTAAGTGACTAACCCCATAATTCTCAACGTTCTTAAACCAACAGTAATAACATTTACTTCTGGATGGTTAAAGAGGATCCTAGAGGGGAAACCCTCACACTACGAAACATTAGGGCGTAGCAAAGTGTTCGAAGTGTTGATATATAGTTGTAACTCTTCTGGAATTATTATAATCAAATAAAGATATTAACAATTACAAGAATATAATAAATAGAACTTATCACTAGGCAAAAATAAGTAATTCCTCATTATTTTTGATAAGATAATATCTATCAATAAAATATAATTGTTTACGTAAATGAATGTTACGAATTAAATTTATTTAAGAAAAATATGAAAAGACAAACCGAATGAAGTTAACATCTACTTAATCAGTTAGTAAATATGAATATTTAAAATCGGATAAAAAATAAAATATTGTATGCACCACAGGCGCTAACTTGTTTTATTGCTCTCGAGCGGCAAAAAGCCCGACTTTATTAAAACCTTTATGATGCCTTTGGCGCATAAATAACTATTTTACACAATGTTATACTGATATATTATAGAAATTTAAAATATTATAATACTTCCCTTTTATAAAAAATTACACTTTTGTTTTCTGTGCTAATTAAAACAAAGTTCACAGTCAAATTTATGTTAAAACATGCGAGTTATAAATCATTGCAATCTCTTTTTGAATTGTTCATTTAAAAAAAAACATATTCATGATATATTAAAGATGCAAGAAGACGACAATAATGAAATAATAATAATGCGGAAGACGAATGTAATTCATTTTCGAATTTAGATGAGACAAGTCCCATATGTATCTCAATGTACCCGCAACTTTTTGTGCAGAGAGGTAGTTTATCTTTAACTTTCACTCACTCAATGATAGTAGGGTGATTTTAAATGTGGAATGATGCTTGATTATGGATGTAATAATGGTTAAGATATGCAAAATGACTTAAAAAAACTTCCACGCCATGTGCCGGACTCTAACAAACATGCTGAACCAACAAGGCAACAATACACTCTCATTAATTAACACAGAACACATATTTAATGAAATACAGGTCATTAAATTGTCTCAAAGCAGAGGTTAAATTAGACTTCTTATCGTTTCAATCTATTTCCATTTAATCAGTTAACAATGACAAAAGACCATGAATATTAATTAAATCTTTGATGCCGTACATGTTGGCCAGCACCTTTCACCTATTCACATACAGAAATGCTCAATATCAGATTACTGAATTTCAGGACTATTTGGCGGAAGGCTCTTAATACAGACAGCAGCGTATCCCTACGACTACATCAGCGCAGAGACCCAATCTCGCCGATCGGAACCCCCTCGTTGCCCTCCCGTTATTAGCCGTCGCTCACAGCAGAGCATCTTTCGCCAAACACGGCGCGTTAGTTAATTTTCGGGAGATAAGCGGCATTAGCGCGAACGGGCGGGCGAGACGTGCTTGGTGCAAGCGGAGCTGTGCCACCGCCACCACCTCCCCCCCAACCCCCCACCCCCGCTTCCTCTTCCGCCGCGCGGTTGGCCACCGCCGGACGCCGCCCCGGCCCCGCCGCCGTTGTCACCGTTCCCGCTGCCAGCTGAAGTCAAGAGCTGCGCGAGCGGCTTAGTCGCCGTCGCTGCGGGTGGAGGTGGGAGAGGGCACCAGTGGAGGCGCAGTCGTATGTGGAGGGGGGGGCTGTGGTGGTAGTGACCGGCGTTGTGAAGTAATGGTGGGGGACGGGATGTTTCAGACGGCGGAGTGGTTGTTGCGTTTCGGTGGAGAAGCGACAGGAGGTGGGGGTGGGGGGTGAGGGGAGTGAAGAGGACGAAACTGATGGGATGGAAAGAGACGCAGTGGAATTGCGGTAGTGGCGGGACGACTTAAACAGCTTGGTGTGGCGAGGGCGGCTGGGGCTTCTTAGGTAGCAGAGGGCGAGGCGGCGAAGAGTCGTCCAGTGAACGAGTCTGAACAGAAGAGACGGCCGTGGTGGCGGTGGGGTTTGCGAAAACAGCAGGGGCGGCGGAAACGACTAGAATTTGGGGTGACTGGTAGGTCTGGGGATTGGTGATGATGTGAATGGCGAGGGTGGTGGGTAAGGCGAAGGCAGCGGTTACGACTGATTATGGCGGTGGTGTAAGAGACAGGGATGACGGCGTCGAGGGCGGTGAGGACGACTAGGAGGTGGGGCGGCGGGTGCCACAAAAATTGACGGTGTGAGAGACGGGGAAGACTAGGGGGCAGCGGGGGCGACAAGAGTTTGGGGGTAACAGAGGCAGGTGCGACGGCGTCGGGGAGTGCGGGAACGACTAGGGGTGTCAGCGGCCCGTACAAGAGATGGAGCGGAGTGAGCGGCGTAGGCGACAGCCTCGCGGGAGGTGGGTGCGACTAGTGGTGTGGGCCTCTGGCACGACTAGGGGCGGGGCGGGGGAGGCGCGAAGGCTACGCACGCCGTTCGTCGACTGGGCCGGCCGCCGCCGGTGTCCAATTTGGACGAACAAACACCCGCGCGCGCGTCCAACAGGCGACTGCCGCCCTTTGAACGGGATTGAGAGCGGATCGGAAGGGTGGTAAGCCACGGCAGGAGCCAGTGGACAGGGGGAGGAGACGGAACGTGTGCCTGGGTAGGAGTGTACTGCGAATTAACTCTTGATGGCATTTGTTAACATGACGCGTCAATAGACAAAGGTTAACGGATGATCTCTCTAGATTTAGTCATCGTTTTGATAGCAGCCTATGCGATGCGAAACTAATGTTTTATGTATTATCATAAACACTGATGATCATATATTGTTCAAGAATGTATTCATTGTTGACTATCACATAGGGAGAAAGTACTTTCAGTAAATTTGGAATGTATTAAAATTATTTAATAATGATCATAATTAACAGTAATAATTCCGAAAAAAGTATTTACTTTCACAGGTATTTTCTTGTAATTTCAATACGGTGAATAAAATGAATTAATGACAACGGCAATTTATTTTGTAAGCTACATATTAGAGAAACATTAAGGCTCGAAATGTATACACCTGTGTAAAAAGCTATGATATAATGTACCACTTCCTATACAACGTCCATTAGTTAGCAATGATTTTAAAGAAAGTGAAACTACAATGTACTGAAAACTGATGTGAGTTGAAATTTGCCAATCAGTTCTTTACGAAATAGAATCTGTTTCGTTCTATAAAACGTGATAGAACGAGCATTTTCAATGCGAGTGCGATCTAGCGAGGCAATGTGTAAATGACTGAAGTGGTCGAACGTGAGAATTACAATTCTCTATTGCCACATCTCATCACTGATCGCCTCACGAACGAGACTGCAAAGAGCGCGTCCCTTACTGAACACGCACGCCGTCAGGCATGAGCCACGCGCTGCGCAGGGTAGAAAAATAGGGACGCGCAGATTGAAAAGAAGCGTCTGATGATAAAATAAACAATCGAAGGAGGGTAAAGGTTGTGATTGAGCACGATAATGGTAGAATGAACACGATGAAAGAAACATACAATTCTATGCGGTTTTAAGACAGACTCCATAACGAAAGATACGAAATGCATCATGACAACGAGATATGGCGCGAGGGAAAAGTTAGCAGAAGCATTTTATTTAATTACGCCTTATATAACTTTACATTCACTGGGCGATTTTATACCACTTTAAATTACTCGCCTCATCAGTACGCTTAATCGATCCTCGCAATACCACATTTGTCACTTGAACGTTCAATACCTACAACCGTCTGTATTCGTGCTACGGTGATTTTCAGTGTCTTTCTGTTTTGATAATTGTTTATGACAGGTTAGACGCATTCCAAATCTCAGGGAAATGGATATATTTCCAAACTTGTAAGTCTAAATGTTAAAGTCTAAGTGCTAAATGCTAAGTCTAAATGCACTCAGAGCAAGATACCACAAAAATCGTAAAGTGCAAAGGTAAGAAAAATCGATATTGAGCGTGATGATGAAAGGGAACTAGTGAAATTACAGCAGCACGATCTGTCTCGCATCAGTAACGGTTTCGTAAAATTGTAATACAGCAATTCCTCTACATGTTAACGTATCCTTTGTTATGAACCGTAACACTTTAGCGCCTTATTGTATTTAGTGTACTACCCGTAACAAAAGACAAGAAATGTATCATGACAATGAGACCTGGTACGAGGAAAAATTGTGCGGAATTTTTTTTATTAACTACGCCTTATACAAATTATCATTCACTAGGCGACTTCATACCACTTTGAATTACTCGCACTATCAGTACGCACCATCGATCCTCGCAATACCACATTCATATTAGAAGCGTCACTCGTTTTCGAGAACTTTTAACAACAATTATTGCAAACACTTGCAATAGAAATTCCTCGTCCTATTTCAGACGTCTTCTCAAGAGTCCCGTCGAGTGCGTTTGTCAGCGACATCAACGCGAGGCCTGTGTTCGTTAGCCAAGATTTCCGACAACTCCTCGACTTGCTCGTGTTCGCGCAGCTTGCGAAGCATAACCCCGCCGCCCGGCCTGCGCGGAGAGCGAGCGGGAGGGCGGCGGAGAGGGCCTTCCTAGAATGCAATTAACTCAAGAGCCCTGACAGTAGCAGCAAACGGCAATGCTGCGAGGCAGTATCGCCGAGAGGCAATCCGCATCATGAGACCGTCTGGCGCCCCCCGCCGCCCCCCCGTCGCCCGCCGCCGCTGCCGCCGCCCTGCCGCCCCGCCGCCGCCGCCGCGCCAACAGCCACCCGCCCCCGCCGCCCACCGCCGCCCCCCGCCGCCGCCGCCGCCGCTCCCCCGCCGCCGCCGCCCCCCGCCGCCGCGCCCCCGCCCACGCCGCCCACCCGCCCTCGACGCCCCCCGCCCACCACCCCCATGGCCTCCGCCGCCCCCGGGCCCCACCGCCCCCCGCGCCCCCCACCGGCCCTCGCCGCGCCGCCGCGCCACCGCCAACCCGCCCCAGCCTCCCACCCAGCCATCCCCCCCCCGCCGCCACCGCCGCCCCCAGCCGCGGGGACTGCAAGCGCAGGCGCTGCGTGAGGGCGGCGGCAGTCGCTATGGTCTGGTTTGCGAGCGAAGCGGTCACAATTTTTTGTTTTTTATGATACGTTATGGCCTCGATATGGAGCTCTACATACACTGCATATTGTGTTTTTACGATACGTTATTCCTTGATATGAGCTTGACATACATCGCATAACGTACTTAACTGAATCGAGAGGAAACCTGTTTTAGAAGAAAATCTGAAAAGAGATGAAAGTCGGCTACATGTTCTCTTATGAGGGGAATAATGAGAGGGAAATATGAAAAGACCAAAATAGTCAAGTTAAACAAATAGGCTAATTAATAAATCTGAATAATTAAAATCGACGGATTTCTACAGAATGATGGTTTTGAAGTTTTCTTTTGTTCAATTCCTGGTGAATATCACAGCAGCATCAAAAACTCCCACTGATGCCAGAATACGAATGACTTTTCTTCTTTCGCCATTTTAAGCCAAAACTCGACATTATAAGTTTGTTCGAATTTGAAAAAGTGAGTTGAAGAGAAAACGTTTAGTTACGTATTTCTAAGTCGTATTTTCTCATAATGAGGCACATTTAAAGTATAACGTTGCATCTGACAAGAATACAAAATACTTACAACAAACATATTACCCTACCGGTCCTTGGCACAATGGATGAACAGAAGGTAAGAAAAATGTATGCAGCAACTGGGGATTTTTCATCACTTCTATGTGCTTGAAACATAAAAAAACAAATTAAATTTAAAATTATTGACTTATTTATGATACGAGTAGTTAAAGTGACATTTTTCACGAGTAAACAATTGAAACGAGGCGGATAGGCCGAGAGGTGGAATCATACGAACAAAATAAAGTCACTTTACCGTCTGTGTCAGACACACCTTTTAAAAACGCCCACTGACTTTCGTTTTATTTTTAATCAGATATATAAAACTACTTCACGAACAAGGTAACTACTACAGAACTATTATGGTCTACAGTAGCAGAAGCTGTTATATCATACTTTTTTGTTGCATTAACAGATATAGCTGAACTCGCTAGCATCATCTCACGTTTATATTATGCTAAACATCCACTTTTAGATCGCCTACGTGTCGTGAAATAACTGCCTGTATTAGAGGCCGTCTAAAACTGAATTTCGGCCCGCATTTTCGCGACTTCCAAACCACCGTGCAGGGCCAGCAGGCATCGCGGCATTCTCGAACGCGCGCCCTGACGCGCTCGACGCCCGCGAGAGCGAGGCGAGGCGCCAACAAAAGAACGACAAATTGCGCAGTCGACGAGGCCACCGCCCCGCGTCTTTAAAACACCAAAAAATAAATGTGTGCCCGTCCGTACCGAGTCTCCTCTGATGAATTCCTGCCGCGCCTCTCCTCTCCTTTTTTGGAAGCGCCCCGCCCTCCAACTTCAGTCGAATGTAACGGGTTCTTCCTCGCGTTTCCTCCTCCACGCTACCTGTTGACCTCTCTGACTTTCTTTTTGGTTCCTGAATCTGTTAGCTGAATTTTTTTTTTTTATCTTACCCGTACCTCTCTGCATTGCGTGTCTGTTTCAATTTCCTAGAATATTCACGACTTATAACATGGAAACATGACTAATGTGTAAGTAAAATACACATCATTCTTACAACTTTGTACACCTCTACTCTCTCGAAAGGAAGTTCTTTTTTTGTCAGATATTCTCCTGCATATGTAACACTAGAATCTAGTACAAAACACTTGTACAAACGAGCAGGTCCGCACAACTGTGCGCGGTTGCATAATCCTTCTTCTTCCACACTTCCTTTCGTCGGCCTCATATTTCTATGTTTTTTATTGGGGTAAACTCACTGTCCTACATCGGGGCTTCCTTCTTTCCCTCACACACCTACACAACACAGGAGCGGGTTCCCTCCCTTTCAACCTCGCCTTTCGTCTCAGAGCTGCGCTCCACCCCCCGCCATCTGCCGCTCCAATGTGTTTGGCTTGCTCTTTGTTTTTAGCGCCCAGTCTCGCAAGGCCTTTCGCTAATTTCTTGCTGCGATCGCCACCGCGCCCACCCCCGCCCCCGCCCCGCCCCGCCCCACCCACCCCCTCTGAAGAGAGGACGACTCGCGCGTAGGGCAGGGCCTACCTGCGCTGGTATTTGTAAAACAAACGAGGCCCCTTGAAGACCAGGTGTCGAGGGTGTAGGACACGTGGGTGGAAATGCTAACGTCAGGTGTGACACGACCCTTTTCTTCTAGGGTAGGAAAGAAACGTGCACATGTTTCAAATGGAAAATTTTTATCCCGTACACGTACGATAAACAGCAAGTGAACGAAAGTAAATAAAAAAGGAGAGAAAAGAGAGAATTCATATTTACAAATACTAGAGGATAATTATAAATGTGCTAAAAAAACACATTACCTAAAAAAATGAGCATTCTGTATTTTTCTAATCCATTCGGCTCTCAACAATTAAAAAAAATAGCCGATTTGGTAATCATATTTTTAATGTGGATTACATGACCTTTTTCATTCCATTACCTTCAGAACTCGCTCGATTTTTGCAAATCAAGTGGTGTATTTTGAGGATTATATCGCCACAACAACTATGATATTGGTGATGCGCTTACTTTAGCACTACTTAGAATGTATTGTAATAAAGATTATTAGAAGTCTCTGAAATAAAAAAAACCTACGTGATGACAAACCTTCCGAATTGATTTAAGAAAAGTGTTTCCACTGTTGGATAAATGTTTTATTAAATACTTAGACTTTTAACAGGTGATAATATTCCACCTTAATGAATAACCAATATTTTGTACATTGATAATTCACTCTTGAAATATCCCTCTGAATATAAGAATTCTAGCATAATTCTTTAGTTGTTCTAGAAATAATTTTATCTAATTATGTAAATAAAATATTTATGAATAATGATTATACGAGATTTTTCCATAAATGATTTTTAACGTTATTCAATGCATTCAATATACATATTGTGAAATTTCATTTTCTTGCGTTGTATAAACCGAAAAAAATTGATATAATTGTACTTTGATATAAGTAATTGAAACATATTCTATAATAACAGCCCGCCAGGAGAAAATATACGATCATGCACGCAGGTGTTCACTAGTGTTTGCGTGAAACACTAGTACTTCAAAAATTGAAGTTTAATTTAGAGTTTTTTACTCTTTAACTCGTTAACTAGTCTAATCTCGTAATGTTAATATCGATTGAATTCTCGTACTCAGTCTGCCACTGCTTACGATACATGACAGATTACATCATGTGACAAGGCATCAAGAAAGACACCAACTGTTGCACCAGCCATTAACAGTTTTTTATTAATGAGTTGAATTATGTTCAGCAGCTTTTTATAATGCTATTAAATAGGTGGAGTACTGTATTATACTATACTAAGTTATTCCAACATTTGCGAGGACTGTCTTTCTTAAAAATTATTCATTGTAGTCCTATACAAGAGTAATTTATTAATTTTTCTTGAGCAGTTGGTGTACTGCTGTTCAAACAATTTTGTGTGATTTTCTTCAGCTGTATATTTGCTACTAATATCTGACAAACGTGCTCTTTTAAACAAATATTTACTTGCTACACGCAATTTATAAACATTGAACACAGCAAAATATGTATCAGACGGTTTGTACAAAACAGTAAAGAAAAAAATTCCTCTGAAAAAAAAAATTGAATAATTAGCCTACCTCATACGTCAACAGTCGACACCTTGGAGAGGCCGGGCGGCAAAAGCTTCGCAACGCAGGAATAAGTTAACACAAGAAACGCTGCTTCTTTCACCGCAAAGTGCAGGGAACCTCTGCAGACTGCTCATTCGGGTGGGCAGGCGGGCCCTTCC